AAGCCCTTTCAGCAGCCCCACCTTCAAGTTAAAAGTCTTCCTCAAAGCTCTGGCTTGCAGATTCCCATCACACCATCTTTTGATGACTGTAGGCACTGTTGTTTTCCTACTTGTCTTTCTGGCCCAGCCTCAAGATTTCACCCTGGGTTTTTATACCTGGGCTATGACTAGGTTTTCTAAATATTTTTAGGTTTTCTCTCATCCAGCTTACCAAATCTTACATACAGACTGTTACCACCTTACTTACTGTTTTGTTAGTACAATATCCTTGTTGACATACATGCTCTTGCCTTCTTGAAAGCTGGTCCAAAGAGTTCTGCTGAGGCAATTTATCACTTTCATCAGACTGCCCTAATTTTTTACTTTTAAATCAATCTTAGCTCCTTGTTGTCTTTAAAAAAAGCACATAAGCCTTGCAAACGACAGCTGAAAACTTATCAGGAGAGCCTTAATTTCTGGTGGAGCAACCAAGAGACTGACTCCACATCTGATTTGCCTATGATATTAGACTTGACTAGTGGCATATGAAATTTTCAGATGGATAAATGCACTGTGTCCCAAGCTCCCCATCACAGAAAGCTGTCTCTTTGTCTTTCTCAGCAGTTGCCCTTGGAATTTGGGTTGCAGTGATGCTTGCAGACATCTGAGTGACTACTTTGGGCCTGCTGTCATGGTGGCTGATATTGTCACCTTGTTCTCTTCAGTTTCTTCATCTGCCAGGGCTCCAGTGATGGGTTGTGTTTCAGTCATAGTCTGTGTCTGGTATGAGCAGTGAAAGTCCATTGTACCCCCATCCTGACCTGCACAAATCCATCTTCCAGCTATCAGAGGTAAATGGTATCAGAACAGAGCTGGATCCTTGCAGATGTTTAGCTGAGATCTATCTCTTTTTGCTAAAGCATCATGGACTTTTCTTGCATGATTAAAAATAATCCCAAAGGGAATAAAAAAGAAAAAAAAGATTCAAAAAAAAGGGAAAGATCCCTAACATTAAACCCTACAGACTTCCAGGGGATGCTTCTATGGCAGCTCTAAATCCTGTGCTGAAATTCAGCTAGCAATAGTGGTGTGAAGCCTCTCAGCCAGAGGATTCTTCTTGTCCCAAAGAGGAAGACAAGTTCCATTGATGGTACATTTGTTTCAGCAGTGAAGGAAAAGGCACTGGTGACAGCAGCTCTGTGCTTTCTGAATGCCTAACAGCACTTGGGAAAGGAGAGAGGTGTGAGTGAGAAAGGGAGAAAATGTGGGAAGAAACTGTGACTTTTTTTCTTGGTATTTACTGATTACAGGTTTTCTATGTTTATATTTTTGAAGGCTGTTTTCTTTACAGTCAGATCTCATCTGTCATTTCCTTTGGGCTGCTCCTTCCTACTTTCCCTGATAGTATTGCAGTTGGATTTATATAGGAGGAAAAAAAAACCCCTTCAATTAATTTTTCTGGTGTTTGCATTGGATGGACTAAGTGAGATAAATAAGAGGCAAAGTGCTGCTCACAGATAATCCTCCAAATACCTGATTTTGGTTAGGACTTTCGTGTAGCTGGTAGATCTTTAGAGACAAAGCTTTCCAGAGCTCTTTGAAAATCAGCAGTGAGAGGAGTGAGTAGGAAAGTGAAGCCTGGGGGTCATTTTGTGCAGAGTATCCCTAGATAGGAACTCCCTTGCCAGGACTGACTATAGAAGCAGTTGTAAAATGACTGTTTTGAGGCAGGGATGAAGAGGTGTTTCTTGACAACTAACATTTGGTCTTTCTTTGATCATGCTTTGTAATTTACACTCTATATTAGAAATGATTGTTCAGGGGAGTGTGTGTAGTGTACACAACCTCTGCAAGAGGATTGAGTAGACACTAATCTCATACCCCTAAAAGAGATATTATTTACAAATATATTATGTATCCATATGGATCAGATTGCTTTCACAAGACATCAAGAGGATGTCTTTGCAGGTTTTTAAGCTGTCTCACAATGGCTGGGACTCTATCACCAGGGCTTGGGGGCTTTAGATATTTGCATAGAAAACATGAAAAGCTGCTAATAAAATGTGGAATAACTATTGTACCTAACCTCTTTTCTACTTACTCATACAGCCATGCTTGTATTTTGATGCCATTATTTAATCCAGATAATTATGTTTGACTATTTAATTCATTTGGGGTTTTTTTCAGTTTGGGGATTTTCTGGAAAGACAAGATACTGGATTTATGGAGAATTTGGCCTTCTGGGTTGCTTTAAAATTATGCCATTTGTTCCATTGGCATGAACATACAGGAAAACAGGAACTTACAGAATTCAAACAGAGCGATAAATATACCATTTTTATTAAAACTGCTTAACCTCATGCTGGAGCTGAAAAAAAATGTTTAAGTCTAATTTAATTTTAAGGTATGCAGTTAATTAATACTCTACATCCATTAACATTCAAAAATGAAAGTATCTGCAGAACCAGTACTCCCTGGAGTAATTTGTCACCAGAAATAAAAAGTCTGCCTTTGAACTGAAGTAGCTTTTGGGTAGTGCAGTGAGCAAAGGAACCCATGTTAATGATACAGATTAATCCAAAGAGTGAACTTCAAGTTCATTACATTGATATCTCACAATTATAAAACCAATTCTAGTTATGTCAGATACTGTTGTGACAGCCAGTGCCTTCTTTGCCAAGTGACAGAAACTACCAACAATTTTAATTTACTGACTAGAGTGTGATTGTGTGCCTGCTTGTGCATCCCAGATTAGAAAATGTTCACAGCATGTTTCTTGATTAAAAAAAAAAAGATGCATTTTCTGTTTATATGAAATTTAGGTCTTTATGCTGTGAAGTGAACTCTCTTTCCAAACAGTGAGTAAATGCAAGAAAAGAAGCAGCAAAAAAAGACAGGATGAGGTGCACAGCAAATGCAACACAATGCCCTTCCCTTCCCTTCCCTTCCCTTCCCTTCCCTTCCCTTCCCTTCCCTTCCCTTCCCTTCCCTTCCCTTCCCTTCCCTTCCCTTCCCTCTATTCCTCTATTAGAGGAAAAAATACCTTTTGCATTATTAGCTTCAGTCTCGCAGCACCTCCTATAACGTGTGGCATTCCTACCAGAGCTATTTTTGCTTATAAACCCTGTTTAATGCACTAAGTGAGGATTTGGGTCAGTGGATTTTAAGCATTGTCAGGCAATGTTTGCAAAGTGCCAGCATATTCTAGGGGTGCAAACATGCCAGCTGAATTTTTTGCTCTGTGTACAATTTTTGTACAACAGAATCCTAAGATACAATAATACGTTGCTTAATTATTCCCCCCCAAAACAATATTAATAAAGAAAATATTTGTGGTTTTTTCAGTACTTACTGTTCTTCTTTTCTACCATAGCCTTGATAAAGCTGGCATTAAATAACTGCTCAGCTGGACAATGGAGCTGTGATTTTCTGCCACTTAATTTGTTTGAGTTCAAAAGGACAATTTGACTTCTGATCATGTGAAAAGCATTTCATTGCATGCTGGAAAGCTGTCTGGGTTTGTATCTAACAGACTTGACAGCATGGTTGGCAACAGACAGATAATGGAAGGCTAATGAATAATGAAAAGCTGAGTGATTGAAATAGCAGAGCTGCAGGGAGAGAAGAGGGAAAGCTGGATGGAAAATGGAAAAACAAGCAGTACAGAAGTCAGGAATAACTAGTATTTTGATCAGTATCAGAGAATGTCTTCACATCAGAATTTAACCCAGTCATAACTTAAGCATTCTCCATCTGCCATCTCACAAAAGCTCTTCACTCGTTCACCAAGACATGTTTTGTACAAGTCACTCAGCTTGCCTTGAGGGAGGGTAGGTTGAAATGAATATATTTTTCAACTCCTAGGATGATGACTACTCTTCAGTAACCTTCTCAGTTGTCATTAATTGTCTGGTGCATTCCTAAATTCCTACCTGAGCGAGGAGTGCTTAATATCTCACAATCTGCTGCAAAAACCAGATGAGAGCTGTAGCATTGGAAGCTATCAGCTGTACAGAGGGATATTGCAACGCTTACTTTGTATTTATACTTCTGTGAAGACATCTCTGGTTTTGTAGCAGGGTTAACTCTGTTTTCATGGTGCTTACTCTTCAGATACCCAGCAGGGAGGAGCAGCTCTTACTTGCTGCTAACTGGTCTCTCCAGATGAAATATGGTCTCTGGAGTTGTGGTATTCACATGCCCTCTGAACAGAGAGAAGCTGTGAGACAAGAAGAGAAGAAGGAAAACACAATTCCTATCTCGCTTGCTGTGCCTGTCTTGTGCTAAAGTAGGATGCAATATGGAGATTGTTTACCCAAAGTGAGGATGTTTGGTTCCCTTGGCCTATCAGGGCCAAGAAGTGTGTGTGTGTGTCGGACTGTCAGGGGACAGTCAGGAGAGAATGAGAGATGAGTGCGGTGTGAGCAGTTGTGAGCAAGAGTGAGGGCAGGGCAGATTCAGTTTAGATACAATGCACATAGTATAGTATAATAAAATAATTCTTTAGCCTTCTGATGATGGAGTCAGATGTATCATTCTCTCTCCCCTTTGTCCGAGTCGCCTTTGATTTACAATATGGAGTAACTGCGCCTTGAGAAGGATTCTGCAAATGTAGCGGGAATTACTGGGCTAACACTTAACTCCAGATGTTACAAGTGAGAAGACTGTCTCATGTCGTCAAAAGAGGGGGGCTCTCTGGCAGTCATGGTGTTTGTGTGTGGATATGTGCATTAACATGGAGGAAGCCAGCTCTTATTAATTTCCTTACACTGCCAAGCTCAGCTGTGGCTGAGGTTGGTGGTGCAAGGCTTGCTCTTACATTTGCTTTCACGATAAGAGTTACAGAGTAGGAGTTGAGTTAGAACTGTTCTTGCTGCCTCTTTTTATGTCTCTTTTTTTGCAGTGATAAATGGAAAAAGATCTTTTACTTTCTTGCTGTAACCTACTACTTTTCCCAAACTCTTATGTCACTGAAAAATTAGTAACACTGTAAATACTATCCTTTCTTTTTTACTTCACAGAATCTGTACCAAAACAGGTTCCTGGGCCTGGCAGCCATGGCGTCTCCATCTAGGAACTCACAAAATCGGCGCCGGTGCAAAGAGCCTCTCAGATACAGCTACAACCCTGACCAGTTCCATAACATGGACATCAGGAACAATTCCCATGAGACGGTCACCATTCCTAGGTCTACCAGTGACACAGACCTCGTCACCTCAGACAGCCGCTCCACCCTGATGGTCAGCAGCTCCTACTACTCCATCGGGCATTCGCAGGACCTGGTGATATACTGGGATATAAAAGAGGAAGTGGATGCAGGGGACTGGATTGGCATGTATCTCATAGGTAAGTCCCTGTTACCCCCTCCCCTTTGGGTTCCTTGCTTGTTTTTGTAGATGTAGGCATTAGGGTAATGGGTGTTAATGATAGTAGTAAGCTCCCTTAACTGTAGTTTTAAGTGTGTTTAGATATGACAAGGATTTTTTCAGCTCCTTTCTGTATTACTGGTTGCAGGCCTTGTGCTCACTTTTTCTTCAGCAAAGATACAAAGAGGCTTTCTGTTGATGATTTCTTGATATTTCAAGATAAATTCATTTTAAAGCCATTTGGATGTTGGGAAAATACCTCCTGTATCAAGACAGTATAGTATTTTCAGGGTTTCCTCTTGAGATTCCTTGAGTAATCTGTGACAGATGAGAGGTTTTACAAGTCAAGAATATGAATCATTTAAAAACCTTGTGAAAATGCCTTTTCCTCCATAGCCACAGGATATTTTGATATGAACAATAATTCTAGACTGAGACAGTTTGGAATTGTCTCAGAAAGTTTTGGGTTTTTTCCCTTTTGTTGTGTATTGGAAGCTATATTGAGCCATGTACCTTAGCATATTTTTGGCTACTCCATCTAGTAAATCCAGCCTCACATAAGAGTAATAAGAAATTGTTTCAATCCATTTTTACCTGATTATTTCACTTCAGTGTAAAATCAGCTTTTCTTAACCTCGTTTGGTTCCTATGGAAATAGTCCTGCTGCTGAGACTGGAGTTTATGTTAACCCTGCTCTCTGGTAAATTTTGAAAATGATGGATCAGTTTCAGATGCTTTTCTCTGTGTATTAGGGTCTTAAAAATTTAAAGGTCTTGAATGTTTCTTGAAAACCAGTGACTTTGTAAAGAATTGTTGCCTCCACGAAGGGAAATGTTGGTAAATTGCTTTCCTTGTCTATTTGGAAGATATGCCTAGTACTAAGCAGATATTTTAATTCTAATAGCATGGTTTCATCTTGCCCAGACAGAGAGCCAAATCCAGATAAGAATATGGTGTTGTGATATGAGCTTTTGGAGCAGGCACAGGGGACATCATAGGGAGCCATGGTGTTACTTAAGTGCTTTAGTGGATAAAACCAAATGACTCGCCTTCACATACTGATGATATTGGGAAAATAGATGTTGGTGACATAGAAGATATGTGAGAAAGCACTAAATAGTAGGTATGAGCATGTAGAAGAGCCATGGTGGCAAGGTGTTAGGCTTTCGAAGATAAGTTCAGGGTATTGAAGAGACTGTAAAAAGGGATACACAAGGGTGGCTGTTTTGGACATGGACGGAGAGGAGTGGAAGTTACAATAAGCCAAGCTCTAGTACTTACTTCTTTATGAGTAACCTCATAAAACGTCCTTCTTTGAAAAGAAAAGTAGGCTTCTGAAATTTAAATCTTATAGGAAAGAAACAGAGACTGGATTTAAAACAGATTCCTTGAAATCAGCCTGGTTTGTTGGCCTTAGCAGAAAATTACTTTTGTTTACAGTTAAGTTTGAAGTGAAGTGTTTTGCTGGAATAGATGAGAAGACACAACAGCCCCCAGCACTGAGCACTATGAAATGCTATATGCCAGTTCTGAAGTAATCCAGACAACTCATGAACTCTTCTCTCAGTGGATAGAGGCAAAGTATTTCTTCTTGTGGTTTGAAGTCAACAGAAAGTGCATAGGGCTGTGTCACGCTGAGTGAACTTGTTCACCCGAGTTTCACCGCACAGGCATTGCATCCAGGGCTGTGAAGACACACTGTAATTTATTTTTTTTATAAACACCATGAATACATAAAAATTTAACTGGGCAAAATAAAAATATACTGTGATACTCCTGCTTCATTTACTGTATCTAACAGAATACATTGCCCAGACACCCCAGTAAATTAAAGATGCATATTTTGAAGTGTATCCTTGCCCCGGCTGAAAGCCTCTTGTTTATGACAATAGTCAATGGCTCATTCCAAGGAACTCCACTGCCAAATAAAAAATTATTAGTGTGTGCTGTCCCTGAGAAACCAAGAGCTGATCCTTGATGTCTTTGAAGGTGTTTTGTCTGCACTCTCTCAGGTTCCACTCTAAATAACTGAGGAAATAGCAGACAGCAGCATCCCTCATTCCCTTTTTTCTCTTCCCTTCCCCTCTGGCCACTCCTGCCCCTCCAAAAACCTCATGTAATATGAGCTCTGGGTTTGGTTCCCTTTAAAGAACATGGAAGACTGTGAAGATCATTTGGGTTTTAGAGTTTGTTTGACATGGAAAACACTCAGAATCTATGAAGGTAACTGGCACTGTGGCTGTATCCCCATTTATTAAGTAGGGGGAATGTAGGGAATGGGTCTGTAGAGGCAAAAATTTGATGAAGGCCTTTTGGGGCCTTGACTTAGAACAGTTTCAGTCTGGCAGAGTGAATGCCCTTGAGTTGCTGTAGTGCATCCTTCAGTTTAGGTTCATCAGGACAGAATTGAGTTCATGTGGCTGAATGACCGCACAGTCTCATGGTGGGGTAGGGACACTTAGAGGGGTCTGTACAAAGCACCCTTCTGACCTGAAATAAAGCACTGGTGCCTTCTGTTTTGTGACCAGTCCATAGGGGTGGGAGATCCAGACATCCCTAATGGCTTAGATTTGTGTCTGCATTTGCACAGATTTTGTGAGCCTCTGCTCCTGTTACGAGAAAGAATGTTCCTGGCCTTTGGGTACGACCTTCACAATGAAAACTGATCTCTAGCTGTGTTTTGAATTGGCGGCCAGACTGGAACAAGAGAACCAAAGAAACTATGAGCTTTTCCCAGTCTGCTCAGGAGAGGATTAGTGTGGAAGCCTATTATTAGCACTTGTCTGGCAGCTCTGTTAACTATTGTGATGCTGCTGGTCATTCTAGTGTTTGTCTCAATCCAGCTTATGGATACAGCCCAATCTTTTTTGTGACTGTTTGTTTGGAGCTGAAAGGTTTGAATGTAGCACTGTGTAGTATTGTGGAGAGTCATGAGTACTGGGAAATTATTTGCATCCTTAGGATATCAGGCAGTGTGTTGTGGATTTTATTTAAGCCTTGGTGTTGGGAGCATTGGAGTTGGCATTTGTTATTTGTCTTGTGGGAGAAAGGAAAGGAAAGGACTGTGCAGAAGCAGAACAGAAGGCAGTTCCACATTGTAGGAATTTAATTGTTGCCATTGTAGTATTCTAGGAAAGATGTCCAAATAATTTTTTATGAGTGTTGGTTTTGAAATGCATAAAACTTACTCTGTTTTCACCAGCAGTGTCATCACTAAAAATTTGATGATACCAAATAAACTTCAGACTTCAGAATAATCTGGGGAAATTTGGATGATATAAATGGCTTAGAAGAAAAAAGTAGCAGAAACAATGTATCTCATATGAATTCGTACTGTGGGATATTTTGGCGTGCTATTCAAAAGTTAAAATAGCCTGAAAGAGGAGTTGAGAGAGTCTTCCCTGTGTGGAAATTCTGTCTGCTTGCTCCTCTTTTGAAGGGCCACAGCTCCTTTTACCACAAGATATCTGTTCTTCTCCCCTGTTGATCCATTTATGTATTCCATAGGTTGACCAGCTGGATAAAAAAAAAATGCAGTCTTTGCACAAGCAGGCAAGAGCTGGATTTAGCACTGGTTGTTAGACACAACATTTGCTCATGGTCTCAGCAAATGGACTAAGCAGCCAGTCAGTCTCTCAAAAAACTGTGTAAAAAATGGTGGTCATGTGTCTCGTGGCATAAAATAGTATCCACCCTGAAGCTTCCTGAAAACATGCATGCATACACACACACATGATTTGCATGAAGGGCCATAGAAAAACTCCTTAGTTGAAGGGAGAATTGTAAATGTTGACTCTCTTAAAATATAGATGTTATTACTTCAGCACATTTTAAGATTAGCTCTGGAAAGTTGACAAAAAGAAAATATGTAAATTGGGAAAACAAGCATTTCTTAAGACATACTGTGCCTTCAGGAACGGGAATTACATTTCATTCCTGCTAAGCTTGAACTCTAGAGATGCTCTAACCTCTCCTCTATATACCATTTATCAGCTCTGAGCAATGCAGAGGAACCTCTACATTCTGTAACAAGTCATCTGAAATGTGCATTTACCTTCCCTCAAGAGAACTACAGTATTATGAGATTCAGCAGTTTTTCAGAAACAGACCCACAGTCTAAAATATGTGTAAACACTCAAAGAGAGTTCTCTAAGAAATTTGAACGTAACAAAGCTCTGTTGCTATTTAAAAGTCTCAGGAATATAAGTTTTCTTTGCAGAAAAGCTATTTATAAAGAAAGGCCTATTGGGAAAAAAGAGAAACTGAAAGTTATGAATAATGAAGAAAGGGTATATTTTTTAAGTAAGAACTCTCATTTAATGGCTACTGTGAGGCAGCTGGAATATTTTGCAGTTATTTATCTCAAGGCTTTCTCTTTCTCTCTTATCTGATTTGCTATTGCTATTTGCTACAGTATGAAGCCCCTTTAGATAAATTCATACGGACTACTAGCAGCTGCCTGTAGATAAAGAGCTATCTTATAATTACTGTAGTGGCATTTTAGCTGCTACTAGATTTCACTTCTGTCATCACCTCCTTATCTGATGTAAAGGAGCTAATGAGAAATGTTTAAAGCAGACTTTTGAAAAAGTCATTTGTCTCCAGTGTCTTTGCACACTGATGTTAGGGGTTTATCAGGGCTAGCATTATACTTTTCTTACTCACATAAAGTAGGCTTTCTTTCTTTCAGTATTTCCTTATATGAAAGCAAAACCTTATTAAAGGCTATTTATTAAAAATGTCTTCATACACAACCTTGGAGGGTCCAATTTATTTTCCATAGCTGGCTTTTTCCAGAGTAGTTCCTCTCAAATTTATATAAGTAGAAATGTCTTCATCTGCTTTAGATTTAAAACTGTTTTCCTCCTCTGTTTCATCCTGTGGTATTTTTTGTCTCCCCCAGAAAGGCAATTCACCACAACCTGACAAATCTAATAACTATTGGTTAATAGACATTTAAACATTTCTTTAAACACTCTC